GTAGTTGATCATGCCTTCAAGTTGTTGCCACACAAGTATTGCAACCTTTGTTTCTTTCAGAAGCAAGAAACTTATCGTGTACCAATAAACCCCGAATGTATTCAGAGATTCAATCGATCATGAAAAAGATGGAGGCTTGGATTACATGAGTCAGTTTCCGTGTGTGTCTTTGCTGAGATGCTTTCTCATCATTGTTGGTCTTATTGTCTCTGACTAAACATGAGCTGTTAGGATGGATCCCACCCTTTCCACTTCATTTTCCGTACGCAATCAATGGATCTTTGGCACCCAAAATGAAATATTAATAGTAATATTAATATTAATGATTATGCAACACCCGCGTTTGATTTTTTCAGTTTGCTTGACTGCAATAACAGCTAATTCATTGCCATGTTTCCCAAATTCAATGAACACTTCAAACTTTTCTACTATATTGAATCATTCATCTTGCCTTGATACAACTCTCTCAAGGCTCTTCTAATTTCCTTTCCTAAACATTACTGTAGATACTTTCTACCAACCCTTTCTCTATAATTGTTTTGATGTGTTCTTGTTGCTGACTCGATATTCATTTGAACCATAAAACACCTATACGTACTCTAGGTTCAATCTCGATCTTTAATACCAAGGCAAATCAAAATAAGTTTGGTAGGAGAAGATATATGGAGTGTCACAATAGGTTTTATCAGGCATTCACCAAAGTTTTGATTGGTTAAGTTGCTGCATCATTACGAAGGTAGATACATTTGGAATGAGTGATGAGTTAATACAACATAAGCCACCTAATATTTTGCATCCAAGATAAGGGGAATATAAATGAGCAACTACCGGTTCTCCTAGGATTCTTATAGGTTAGGTGCTCTGCATTTACTTTTTCCAGGTGGAGGGATCACGAGCAGGTGAGAAATATAAGGGAAAAAGAGGAAGCTGGGTCCTGGGGTGACAATGTATAAAGTAGAGGAGAACTAACATCCCCAACTTCGGCCATGGGGTTGGTGGGGTGGGTTGGGTTGGGTTAGCCTGCTAATGATAGAACTGAACTGCATTCCAAAGGATTCTTTTCTTTTCCTTTTTTCTTTTTTTTTTTTGTAAAATCCCATTTCAAAATCATGCCGCAATCACCAAATGAAATTAGCGTTGTTGCTACAAGCAAAGCTTGTTTCACCAAATGATGTGAAATTGCAAAAGACAAAAGTGCGTGTAATAATCACGTTGGAGCTGGGTCAATTGGGCTTTCCAAATGTTAAATGGGCCAGCATATGTAAGCTGACCAATCAAACCGTTTTGGGAAACATTTTGGGGCCATGAGAGAAGATCAACCGTTGGAGCTGGCTTAAGATGACAGATGAGAAATGGCAATCACTCGGATTAGACAGAGGAGTGTGTGAACATCTTTGATTTGATTGGATTGGATCAGAGTTTTTTTTACCTCAAAGCATAATTATGGCAGTATCAATTTGCTCCGAACCATACGAAAAACAGAACCAAACACTTTTCTATTGTTAAAAAGCCCATTTCAACTAAGAAATCCATGTAGATAGGCCCAAAAGCAATAGATTGGACAACATAAAACTCTCCTTCAAGGCCCAAAAATTCAACCGAGAGAGTTGAGGCAGGCTGTATACATCCACATCTTGAGGCCCATGAGATCCATCAATGTTCCTCCTAAGGGAAAAACAAAGACTACTACAGAAGTGGATTGAATTTCCCTATTTGCCATTCATTTTGAGCTTGTTGAACACACAGCGTCGTTATGATTGAAGTAATATATTATATATATATATATATATATATAACCAGGGGGCGTGCATCAGGCAAAGCTGCTCTCACTAGAGCATGCATGATGGCAGATGCATGCTTCCTCTTTAAATCTTCAATACAAATGCCAAAAAGAGTAAACTGGCCACCCTCCCCCGCCCAACCACACGTTTTATCATCAAATTTGTGCTTTAAATATTCTATCACTTACGCCACCCTCCCCTTTCAATGTATTGATTCACCCCTTTTGGAAACACACCCAGCACAAATTAATGGTTGCCCCACTCTCTTCATTAAGTTTATAATATTTCTTCATCTCACAAAAAAAAAAAAGGTTTCTCTTGTTATGTGTTGCCTGCCATTTGCATATGAATCTGATCACTAAACTTTTAATCTACACCCTCAAAAGAAGTCTTGTGAAAGAAAATTTAAAAACTAAAATGTGAGCAAATTTTACCATTTTAAATCTCAATTCAAGCAAGGTAAGTGTGCATTTCTTTTCTTCTTTTTCATGCTGAATCAGTGAGAGAGAGTGGTTTCAAATTAATTATTCAGTAGCAATAAAATCATTTACTACACAGTGTGATCTCAACCATGTGGTGATATTTAAGACAATATTAATTGCCAAATCTAATTTTAAAGCACTTTCTTGGTAAGATTTTTTTCCCCAAAGCAAGGCTCTTCTTTTAATGAAACTATTCTTAACAACATTTTCTCTTTTTACACAGATGGAAAGATAGATCATTGTATGTATCTATCATGTTTCATGCATTCATTGTACCAAATCTTTTACTCAAAAGAGGAAAATAATATATTTTAATTTTTTTCATAAAAGTATTATATCAATACAAAGTCATGAATTTATAATTTAATTTGAAATATATATTTGTTAGGTGAAATGAAACTTTTACTTATAAATTTAAAATTCATATCATATTTTATATATGTAAAATCCGTATAATAACATATTCTCTTTTAGTTTGATTTTTTTTATAGTCAAACTTTTTTAATCTTGACATTAATTATTTTACACATTAAATCAAACAAAATTTGATAGAATTTGAAAATATTAATTAAAAAAAATCAAACTCGAACATTAATTATGAAATGGAAAGAGTAATTAAACGGTTAACAAAAGTGGATTCATTTAATTAACCAGTTACACCTACTAATTACACCAATAATAATAGTAATAATAATAATACTCATGTGGAAAATGATTGATTAGCTTGATTGAAGGTGGGAAGGCAGCGAAAAATTGAACATGATTAACAATCCCTTTGGACTTCCTGCTTTGCTTGTACACATTATTGATAGGTTCCTTGATGAAAAGCATATACCACCGCCCCAAAGTGATAAGATTACAAATCACGGTCTCCCTCAGCCTTCAAAATCATTTGAACATTATTTGGAGGGTGACGAAGCCAAAGTCAAAAACAGCAAGCAGAAGGGTAAAGGGTGAATATAATTTGGTAACCCATTCCTAAACCAAAGTAGGTGAGTGCAGAGGACCCCACTCTATAACTCCTTCCTCTTCTAGCCTAGTTTGAATATCCAACAAACTATACCTTTTAAATACCCCTTTTTTATATATATATTTTTGTTGCTGGATTTTTTGCGTAAGCATTGGCTGTATGAACCATAGATTATGGTCTGAGCTGAGCTGACCAAAAGTCAAAGCTGAGGGAAAGCTCACCAGTCCTAAGCTCTCTTTGGTCCGGAAAAGTGAACCAACGGATGGCTGCCCAGTCCCCACCCTCCAACCTGCCAAGCCTTTGGATCTGACTGCCCTGTCCTGCTCAATGTTTTCTTCTTGCCTAATGCTTTGATTCGTGGAGGGATTTATGGTCAGGTTTTGGCTGCTTTATATGGAAAGTATAAGATGAAACTCCAGGACCTATTAACTCATGAAATTGAGTGTTAGTAATTCAATAAATGAATTAGACCATTTCCTTCGCTTAAAGCAATCGTTTTCTTTCTTATATTAAGAAAGGAAGACCATGAATCATTAATATATATATATATATATATATATAATCTAACCCTTCTTGTCTTAATACGGTGCTATATTATTTAAAGAAGAAAAATAAAAGAAAACATTAAATAAATAATTTTATATAAATATTTCCTACATAGAATTATACACTGACTTTTTTTAAAAATACACGTAATTAAAATCGCAAGTCTTACATTAATTTGGAAAATGAAGATAAGAAAAAAAAAACCATTATAACCATTAATTCCTGCTTGGTATTAGTCATTGAATTGATTTTTTGTCGGTAAAATGTAGATATTTTGTTTATCAATCTTATGTTTGCTCTATCCCTAAATAAATGTACTAAGTACCATGAACAGCCAAAAGATCCAATAAATACGAAACCTAAAAATGAAAGGTAGTTTTAAGTATTTCTCGAAATCATTAAAAATGATGGAAAAAAAAGGAAAGAGATGGTTATGACAAATAAAATCAAAAACCAAATCAACCAGAAAAGGTCTATGTGCAATAAATTTTAATTTTAACGAAGGTGGTGTGTATAATTAATCCTAATAAAAACACATGGAGCCCCTGACTTTAAACCATTTTCCAGTTTCCTAGCGGTAGTAACAATCTAACACTACTTTATTTGAAAGGATAGACCACAAAGGACTTTAAATCAGCATTCACCTGCCAGCTTTTGACTTTAGAAGGAATTTTTTTCAGGAATTGGGTTTGAAAACTCGTGGTCAAGTTAACCTAGCCATAGATTTATTTTTCCAAAATAACCTTAATCAAAGGAAGAATTAAGCATCAAATGTAGCTAATAAAAAAAAACAATTAAAATGTTTGCAAAGAGGTTCATGAGGCACCCACGCATCGGCTGCAACCTTAAGAATGCTATCAAACAAGCAGAAAACGCCGAAAGAAGGGCATATCAAAGCAACCAAATGTTGAAAGAGATCGGCTTTTAGAATGATGGCAGTCAAAGGCACATTAAAACAAAACAAAAGCCTCAAAAGAACACCCTATAATTGGCTTCTAAAGTTTTCAGATGTCACCTTAATGGGTTCAGCTTTTCCTTTTGTACCTAAAGTTAATTACCGGTGCTAGTATAATTCGCCTGATAAGATAAAAGAAGTGAAGTAGAAATACCTTGTGGACCCCACTGCACCCCACTTCTTCAAACCTTCCCCCGAGAAATTCCTCTCAAAGACTCCCACTTTTGCATGGCGAAAATCAATAAATTGATTAAAAAAATATTACTAAACTTTTTCAAAAATTTCAAGCTTTGATTGCTTTCACATCTCCAAAGCTGTAAATCGGTACACGCTTTAAAATGCTTTAGAGCCACCCCCTTCCTTCTTTGCCAATGCCACTAATGGCCTTCGCCATTGCCGTTCTGTTTGCCCACTAAACGACGCCACTTTCTACTTCTCTCCCGGAATCTACCCGAGAAAAACCAAACTCTTTCATTTCTACCCTGCTCATGGGTTACCTCTCTTGCAATGCAGAGTCGGCGGTTGCCGTTTGTGACCCTTACAACTGGGACTATTATCGTAGAAAAAAATCCCAAAAAAACAAACCTAGAAAAACCAGAAACAAAGTTGAAATCAGACAGTTTCTTTACACTGATCTCCTTTCTGCAACCAACGATTTCTCTTCCGACAGCTTCCTCGGCAAAGGAAGTCACGGTTCTGTCTACAGGGCCGTCCTGGACAACGGCAAGTTAATCGCAGCAGTTAAAAAAACGACAGCAAACTGTAGCAGCCCCGCGGACAACGAGATTGAGATTCTCTCCCGAGTTTATGATACTCATCTCGTCAATCTCCTAGGTTACTGTTCCGATATACTTTGTAAGAATAAATTAATCGTCGTGGAATACATGCCCAACGGTTCTTTGTACGATCTTTTACATTCTTCTTCTAGACCGCCAGGTTGGACCAGGCGTGTTCGGTTCGCTTTACAGGTTGCCAAAGCGGTTCAGGCTTTACATTCGTCTAACCCACCTGTGATCCATAGGGATATAAAATCATCCAATGTTTTGATTGATGAAAGCTGGAACGCTAGGTTGGGTGATTTCGGTCTTGCATTGAGAGGACACGTGGAGGATGTACGGGTTAAGTGCACACCACCGGCCGGGACGCTAGGATACCTCGACCCCGGATATTTGGCGCCGAGTGACGTCAGCACTAAAAGTGACGTGTTTTAGTTACGGCATTTTGTTATTGGAGATTATTCGGCAGGCATGCCATTGACTTGAATTATAGTCCGCCGTCGGTCGTTGACTGGGCGGTTCCGTTGATCAAGGGAGGAGATTTTCAGCGATTTGCGACCGTCGTGTCGGGCCGCCGGTGGATAAGGAGGTGGTCCGGAGTTTGGCGGTGTTGGCGGCTAGGTGCGTGAGGTCCACGGCGGAGAAACGGCCCGGCATGGCGGATGTGGTGGAATGCTTGAGGTGGTGCGGAAAGAGAGTTCATGCGGGACCCGTTTGGAGTAACCTAAGGCGGCGCGTGAAACGCGTAGATAAGCCGTTGGTGATGAATCAGGTGTTTGAAGGGAGCGAGGAGGTGGTACGGAGTTCGAGGTGTGTGGAGTAGGAGAAACAGCCGAAAGGTATCAAGTGTGACAAATGTAGATCACGACAGTGAAGTAATTGGTGATCGTGTAGTAAGACGAAATCGATTGGTTCATTTGGGGAGACGGCGATGATGAAGAGGATGGGGCCCGCAGAGCTTGATCTAGACGGTGACCACGTGGCATTGGTAAGAAAAAAGCCGGGAGTAACGGTGAAAATGCCGGTCATGAAGCTGAGCAAGTCGAGGTCTATGGGAGTTCTGCAAAGTCCGAGACTACTGAATCAAAGCAGCAAAAAAAATATGTTCGAAATTGGGAGGAGAAGGAACTCGACTGACTTCGATATGTCAAAATTGGTTATCAGTTTTGATGACTACAAATTGGACAGAAAGATGTCAGAACAGCCCTTGTTTTTAGTTTAAGATGTCTCAAAGACAAAGATTTGATGTTGTTTGATGATGGATTTTGAAATAAAGAAGGAAGGGAACTATCCAAACTCCAAAAGGGTATGTTTTAAATTCTGCTTCATTGTTCGTTAATTACTATAATGCCGGTTTCTGCAGGCGGGGGCTGTCGTTCTCTTATTGCTCTTGGCGGCGAAACAGTGAAAGATGGAATCCATCAACTTACAACACGTTATCTTTTCCAGGGCCAAGGGGCTGCTTCCTTTCAGAAATTTAAGTCACTCATATACTCCCAACTGTATGTAGTGGAAGACTTTAATTATTTCTTTGTATTTGTCGTACCTTCTGATGATTTTGTAGTTTATAATGATTCGATTCTGATGAATTCTGTTTGTAATTGTTTACTTGTAGTTGAAATTATTCCAAGAATGAAACGATTGACTGTTTGTTGATTGGTCTATTTATATCCAATCCTCATAATTTAGCAGAATCATGTTGCTAGCTGGATCGGTAGCTTCATCACCAACAAAATCTTTGCTAAATTAATAACCCTGAAAGACTGGCCTGATAAGTTTAAAACAAAGAGCTGTAATGGCTATTTTTAAGTACCCTTTGCAGTCTGTAAGACACAGGCGCCATTGGTTGAAACTTGGAATTGTTGTGGTTATTATGAACTTGGTAAGAAATTTGTCATCAGGTAAACAGAAAAGAACTGAGAACAAGTCCTTTAAAGCCAGTCATCATAAGGCAACGACCCTATGAGTTTCTTGTCATTACTAGAGGCTGATATTGTTTCCCTATTTGATTTATGTTTGGGACGGTTTCTAAGGTTTAGCTAAGTCCAAAACTTTTTAATGCAGTGACTGGTTATGTCTCCTTGATTCTGTTTGATCATGCCTGGACGCTATCAATTGAAAACGATCCTTTCCGTGGAGACTGTCATTAATGTTTTCTGGATTTAGTGTTCTGGTTTTTGTTGCAGTTGGTTCATTCTCTTGTGATTGCATGTCTGACTTGACTGGCCAATCACATATACGTGATTCACATCCCTCCAAGCAAAGCTTGTTTCAGTTGGATGTATATATATATATATGATGTTGATCCATGGAGGTTTCTGTTCTACTTCTTTCTCTCTGGATAAATTCCCTACACATACTGATATTGTCATGAATAGACACAAAACTAAAATTGTGAAGAACACGAGTTAGCATACTTTGGCAATTAAGAAAACTAACTGTATCACAACTCACAAATATTGATTATTCCCCTTCAATGAGACTCAAAACCAGAAGAGAGAGATTCCAGGGCAACCAGCACAAGGGAACAGAACAATCATATCAATCAATCTATGCTTTTCTTTTATTAAAGTTGAATGATTTGAAAGCTTTAGTGTTTGATATCAAGATCAGCAATTAATTAGTAATAGTTTATGTTGATTAGTAGTTGTTTGAGGAATACGAAGTCAAAGAGTCCTTGGATGCTAAAATTGGTCATTGAATTTATAGATATGGACGACCTTTCTTTTCCATGTGGTGTTTGAAAGGCCGTGCAATGTTAGTGGCCCGCATTATTAAATGATAGACTTCATTCTTTTATCTTCTTAGAGGTCCATTTTAAACACGCACTGCTCCACAAGTTCTTCAATTTGCATCAACCTCTGAACTAACAAGTGATGCAGTTGTTCAAACATATCAATTACTAATTTATTTGATTATCCCTTTCCCTAACTAGTTAACTATCACAAAAATAGCCCCTCTCCTCCACCTTCTTTCTCATTCCCCCCTCCCCTACACAGAAATCCCTGATAAAGCATCATGTTCAATCATTCTCTTTCTCATTTTATAAAATCAGAGTTGATTTTTATATTTTGGGCTTTTCTTCATATAGCTACTTGACTTGTTCTACAGTCTATAGTTTAGATTATTAATGCCCTTATTAATTAGTCTCACCAGGAGTCTGCTACACATGCATCTTTAAATAGATGTCAACTTATTTGTAATTTGTCAGCACCAAGTAGGCAGCAGCACCATATCAAAGACTAATGTGAGTTTACAGAGGCAGCCAACTTGGAAAGCAGTGGTTGGCCATTAACTAACATCTTTTCCCATTTAGAAGAGTTTCAAAACCGAAAATAATCAACAAGGACATTTCAAAATATCTTTACCTGGTTTGGGTCTTAGAAACAAAGCCGACTCAGGTGGAGGGGCTTGCTGTCTGCTGCTAATAGCGTAATACCCAGTTCCACAACAGTGAGTTGCTTAATTAAAAATAAAAGCTGTTGTTCGGGCTGCGAATACTTTTGTACCAGAAAAACATAGCGTAGGTCCAAGGATTGGACATTGATTGACCCTGGACAAATGGATGAATCTTGACCAGCCCCAACCTTTCAAGTCTAAACAATGTCTCGTAACGTGGCTCGTGAGGTCCAATTATTCTAGCAGTATATGATATTTGTCGCCAATCGTTTAACTTATGTAAAGTGAAATGATCCAAGCAAATAAACCTATATGTGTCTTGACTCTCTTCTTTAATTTCCCGAGATTGGTTTACACAAAACATATGTTATTTAGCAAGAAAAATCATAGTAAAAATATATGACATCTTCAAGCATTAGCTGCTTTCATTAATTTACTTTACCTTTTACCATAAGTAAGATAAGATAATAGATTGGCGCATCGAGCTCCATGGACAGACTAGCCTAGTTAGCTACCTGGTGGATATTCGTAACGAGGCAAGCAATCCATTGTAAGAGGATTTATGAATGGACTGACTAAATTGCTATCGAAGTTCTTTACTGCTTCTGGGCCATAAACTCCAGGAACAACTACAGTGGATTGAAGAATCTATTTGTTTGCCACCACTCAGCAAACAAGTAGACCAGTTTCATCCAACAGGAACGAACCCACAGTCCCTGGGCTGCCGTCTTGGGCTAAAAGTTAAAGGCTTCGAATAGTTCTTCTACATTAACAAACTTGAAACTGATTTGACTTTGTCTGATTAGAGCTTCTTGATTTTCCCTGCATTTCCCGTCCTTTCATCTACAACTTAACAAACTGAATGTGAATTACCTGATTCTAGAATAACCCTCATGGCCGTAGATGTTTTGCTACATAGGATACAATGAAAAGAGGGACACAGCCAGTTTCTTAAGCCTTAAGTTGTGTCCACACACGACATAAAAATCACCCAATAAACAAATAAGAATAAAGCTTAGCTTCTTTACATCCTCTGAAACTTGAACAAGACTCTATCTCTCCATCATCAATTGCTCTTTTTATTAAAGGTGGTTGAAGAGCTTAAGAGACAATGGCGAAATTTTTTCTTTTGAAATTGTTTGGTGGTTGAAAAGCTTAAAATGCAGATACAAACAGTGCCACGGATGGCGTAATGGGTGGGAGGCAGTGGTTCGGTATTATTGTCAGACTCAAAAGACAAAGTTTTAACTTTTAAGACTGGATTTTCCCATTGCCAAACGACATGAAAACACTGAATCAATAATGCAAAATATGAATCTGTACGCCTAACCAATCTGATTTATCACCATCAAACATTTTAGCTAATTACTTGTCGAATACGGCAGTGATTCAAAGATTAAGATCCAAAGTGGCCGAAAGAAACAACTCCTCCATGCATGCAAGTAAAATATTGCCTTGACTTTAAAGCCCTACTCGTGCAGGCCTAATATTTGAGTAGGGTGAAAACCCCAATATAAATGGTCCAGGACTAGTATTCACCAGAGCAATTAATAAAATAATACTTACTACACGAAAACACTTGTTTTTTTTTTTTTATCATTGATCATCATATATAGAAACCTAGGCTTAATTTCTTTTCTTTTTTCAAGAAAAAACAAAACAAAGGAAGGTCGTTCAATGTCCCCTACATGTTAACATATATTGACTATTGAGCTTTAGCTATGATATTTCTAAGTCATGCTGCAGATGGTTTAACCTGCACAGTTTAGTTTTTGGAGATATCCGACTTCGATCCTAAATTTTGGTTGTCTTCGATTATGATACTTGATATATGCTACTAACATAGGTTGGGCCCCCTGGGCTAAGTCTGAGAAAGGATGGGGATATGGGAAAAATGGCTAGCCAAGGGCCCATCTGTACAGTGTGGCAATCTTTGCACGAGAGATGGAAAACTGGAGACAAGAGGTTTTTCATTTATAAAAAGGATGGAAAATTAAAAATAAAAAATAAAAAAGCTGCCAAAAAGCATGGAAATGGAAATGAAGGTCAGACCCTCCCTCTCTTCCCTTCCCCCTCCCCTTTCCTTTTCTCGTCTTGTCGCCATCCCTGTTTGCTTTTTCCTCTCAATTCTCTCGTATTCAACTCCCACACTAACTAAAGATTGATTGATTACAAAGAATCTTCCGTAATTGACAACGGTTAAAATATTCTACTGTTCTGCAGAACGGGACGGAAAAACATTGCAAGTACGGATCTGCAGAATGTACATGACATGAAATATACATAAACCTACCCACGGTATGCCCGCTCCTTGTCACTTTTTCCTGATTGGATTATCCAAATACTTGAATTCTCTGTCTCTCTGTGTTTATACTGGGATTAGTTTGAACTTTTTCAAGTTTAAGTACATAATTAACTCCCAGTTACTACTAAAATTACTTGTCAAGCCAAAGGAGGGGAGTAAAAAGAAAGGGCATGCACCTCTGAGACGAAGTGCGTTGGTTTCCCGCCAGCTGACATGAGAGTGACAGGAGTACGGTGAGACAGAGTCACGTCAGATATATACCGGGATTGGGGAGAAGAAAAAAAAGAAAGAAAAACTCGGGAGTGGGGCTGAGATGGGGTTGATGATGGGTGATGGATGATGGATCGATGATGGAAGGTATCACATGACACAACCTGCACACCTGCTGAGATTTGTGTGGATGCTGTGGGTACCATTTTATCACTCCCCATCACAAACTAAAACCATATTACCATTTTTTTTCTTCTCTTTCATTATTGTTTCTGTTTTCCTTTGGACTGTTTTGTTTACATTTGTTATCTTACACTTGTTCAAGTGCCAAGGTGTAACCCTTCCGCCCTTTCCAAAGTCCACTCTCAAATAATTACTAAATTTAATTAATCAGCATTTTGGTAACCCTAGTGTTTTGGTGTTGTGCATGCACTTAGAATATGGGCAAACTAAGAGCCAACAAATTATAGCTATTATCGCTGGCCTCTTTGCCTTTTATTAATTATTATCTGTAAGAACGCGCTTAAGTGGATGATTCGTAAGATTTGGGGTCATCTGAGAAGAACATGATTGATTTTTTCATCATAGATTTACGTAAGAAATACTTACCAATTTTATATTGGACTGTATCATTTGTCAATCTCAACTATATATATAGATTACAATAATCCGATTGAGTTGATGTGATCATGCGATAGATAAAACGTCTTGACAATGCATCTTGTTATGTTATGAAATAGTCAAAGGTTAATTTAATACCGCTAAATGCTTTAAATAAGGAAGGGTTTGGATTAGGGCTTGAGGCCTAACATTCTGGGTTTTTGGACCTAACCGAGGTTGTGGTGAGGTTGCAGAGATCAACCTCGGTGTCCTTCGGCTGAAAGTAGCATGTAGACCCAACCCGGCACCTAAAATTGACAAATTGCTGTCCTAATATAAGTAGGGGAAGGAACAGTAGGGAGAGAGAACAGTTTCAGCGCAATTGCGTGGATGGGTACTGGCCCTGATCACCCGTATCATCTCTTTTGAATAAATAAGATTGCATTAATGATGTCACATATTACTGTCGGAGATGGGGGGCACGTAGGCAGCTGGCATTAATGCCACCAAATTTATTTTTATTTTTATTTTGTTTATTTATTTTATGTGTTTTTCCCCTCACTGTAGTTCCGTGTACTGAGTTTTTCAAGTTATGCTCCCAAATGTTGAAGCAATTCTCTCCCCTTTTGGATTAAGCAAACTCCTCTCTCCCAATCTTATATATAACTCTATATCAAACACAACTTAATTCCTTTAGTCTTATTTATAGAAATCTTTTCTCTTCCTGTACATGTAGGGGACCCATTGTGGATACTAACTAATTTAATGGAAAATCATGAGCTCTCGTTTATATGAATAAGAATGGTAAGTTCATCATTTTAACATGGTGTGAGTAAGAAATAAATTATTATTTTACTTCTTCTTTAAGATATTGACCATTGTTGAAATTCATAAACATTAAACAGTGTAAAACATGGGATATTTATGATGAGATGTGTTCCTTCATTCAATAGCAAGAAAAGAAAGGGAAAAACTTGAGCAATGTCTAATCGTGAGCTAGCATTGGATGGGAAGAGTGTTGAAGGGAAAGACCAAGACAAGTGACGGATGATAATAAAATGAGGAATTTAGATTTACTTCATGTTGAGTCGTGGAAAGAGTTTTCCTATACTTTCTTTCATTCTCTAGAAAAAGAGGTGGCCAATAAAATATAACTAAAGAAAAGCGTGTCCCATGTATCCAAACACCACCTCTCTCTTTCAACGCCTTGCCCAACACAGTACGTCTCCTCCTCCTCCTCCTTCCTACATCTCTCTGCTTTTCCATTGCTTTTGCCATTTGCTCCCTGCAAAGTAATTCCCAGACTCGTTTTTACTTTTACCACTCCAACATACCATCTCTTAACAAAAATAGAAAAAGGAAGGAGACAAGAGTTTCAGGCCTAGCTAAGACAGCCAAAAACTTAAAAGGGGAAGGGAAGAGAGAGAGAGAGAGATAAAGAGGAAAAAGACAATTAACAAGACGTGAAATTTGAAATTTACGGTCAAAATAATCTGTAAAAAGAGCCCCCAATAGTTGGGGTAAATTAAGATAAAAGAGGAAAATAGTTTTGCTTATTTGGTTTCACAAAATGGAAAGCACATTAAAGGCTTTCGAGTAAGACACCCTTTTTTTGCAGGCCAGGAATTCATGGCCACACTCTCCTCCTCTCTCTTATCTTCTCTTCTCAGCTAAACTAAAACAAGTTTACCCTCAAAACCCTTTCTTATATTTGTTTAAACTCTCTCTTCCTTTTTAATTATTGATGCTGGATCTGCTGAATTAACCTGGCCATGTAGATCTTCCCTATCAACAATACAAGGCCAGGGAAAGAAAGGAAACCGAAATAAAATAAAATAAAATAAAAAAGAAGAGGGCTGTAGGGAAAAGAAGAAGAAGAAGAAAGAAATGGATTTTGACGAACACGAAGACCAGGACGAAGAAATGGGGATGGCTGTTCCACCGGGCTACGACTCACTCGGCAACTCACAAGCAGCTCGGTCAAGAATGGGACCCGCCAGCGGCGGTGAAGGTGCGGCGTCAGCAACACCAAGAAAAGTGGGATCCACTATAAGGTACCGTGAGTGTCTCAAGAACCATGCCGTGAGTATTGGAGGCCACGCGGTGGATGGATGCGGCGAGTTCATGGCTGCTGGTGAGGAAGGGACTCTTGACGCCTTGAAATGTGCCGCGTGTAACTGCCA